ATAAATAAAGCCCATACAACATAGTTTCCAATGCAGTCCGAGTGACTTTAGTTATTAGCTTATCCAGTCGTCACGATGTGTTCCAACACCTTGATTCTTTCCGGTACCTAATGCCAATCTGAAATCAGAAGGGATGAATGTGTAGTACACACATCTTGTTGAGATTAAGTTAACTTCCATGTGGAGTTTGATTTGTGTTCCTTCTTTTGCCAATATTTGTGTGATTACTTCGGTAAAGCATGAAGACGTGTGGACCCCATCCCCTATCCAAAACTCAAGTCGTTTGCTATAATCGTTTATTGAAGAACCCTCAGCTGCTTAGTAGGAGATGCCGGTGTTGTCGCGGATCCAGTCGAGGTATCCGGTGACGCGGGTGAAGACGGCGGGAGCACCGGACTGGCAGCCGGCGGCGGAGCCGAAGGAGGTCACTCCGACCAGGCGGTTGCCGTCGTGTGTGACCAGGGGGCCACCGGAGTCGCCTCCGCAGGTGGACTTGCCGCCGTCGGTGTTGATGCAGATCATGTTGTCGTGGAGGTTCCAGGTGCGGCTGCAATCACCCTGGGAAATGATCTGGACATCGACGGACTGGAGCCAGTCGGGCAGTGGGCTGCCATCGTAGGTGCCGCCCCATCCGGAGGCCACGGCCCACCATCCGGCGTAGTCGCGGTTGCGGTCGTTGAAGCTGGGCAGCTCCACCTTGTTGACCAGGTGCCAGAAGTCGACGTGCGGGGTGCGGATCAGAGAGATGTCGTTGTGCAGGTTGCCGCTGTTGTAGTGGTGGTGCTGGATGATGTCGCCACCGCCCACCCAGTGGGTGTACTGGGGCTGGTTACGCAGACTGGCTCCGTAGTTGATGGTCACTCCGTTGGCTCCGTTGGTGCAGTGGGCGGCGGTCAGGACCCAGGTGTTGCCGATGATCGAGCCACCGCACCACCAGTTTCCGTTGCCGCTGAAGAGCAGACCCACGATGTAGGGCACCTTGCCCTCGTAGGCTGGGTAGCCGTTGGTGATGCGACCCTGGATGTCCTTGATGGGCGTCGGGGTCAGCTTCTGGGCGGGAGCGGGCACAGCGGTGGCTGCGGCCACGGCCAAGGCCAGGAATACGAACAGTTTCATCTTGGTCAAGTCTTGAAACTCAATGGTGTTCCGAAGCCGGAGCGCCTTTATATACAGAATAGGGGTGTGTCTTATCTCGATCAGGAGCCCTTCTACACGTATGTAAAATTGGAGGGCAGTAAATTTTGATCAAGTTATCTTCACGAGCCGTCATCGACTGATAAGTCCACTGCAAGTGATTTCTTTACCTAAATTATGGCCTACATTTGAAGTGGAATGACATGTGCCATAATTGCTACTTACTTTTAAGTTTGATAATAACATTTAGGGACATTCGATTCACAGTAAATGTATTATATGCGTAGTTTACCCAAATGATTTATAAGAAATCTGTATTTCGAATAATCTTCTAAGAAAGTATTTATAACCAATCCCTAAATAATATATAAGTGCGATTAAAAATTACTCATACGACTCGTTGTCCAGTATTTTACTGCTCACCGAAATGATTTTTATATGGAATCAGTCTTGACGTTTGTAGTTCCTTATTAACCAACAAATAAAACAAAACGCAAAGTTTTTTTATATTGGTATTGTATTGAAAATCTGCTTCTATTCCTTAAAATTCCTTAAGAATCTATTAAACAAGAAACCAGATTTAAAAGCGAATGTTCTTTATTTATTTTAAGCTTTTTTAAGCGCATCTATGCTCTTAAAAAAAGAGAAGTTTTCTTTTAATAATAGATTCCGGTCGTCTCCTTGATCCATTCCAGGTATTTGGTGACTCTGGTGAAGCCAGCCGGACCTCCAACTTGGCATCCGTAATCGGAGACAAAGGAAGTGATTCCGATAAGCTTATCACCCTCCTTTGTGACCAGAGGACCACCAGAATCACCCTGGCAGGTGGCCTTTCCGTCCGGAGTGTCCACACAGATGGTGTTCTCGGAGGCGGTTTCAGTTCCATAGTAGGCCTGGCACTCCGCCACGGAAATCACTTTCAGATCCACCACTCGCAGATCCTCCACCACATTGCTGCCATCGTAAATGGCGCCCCATCCTGCGGCCTGGACCCAATTGTTTTCGTAGGAGTTGTAGCGGTCATCCAGGCTGGGAAGCTCTATTTTGTTGACCAGGCTGTAGAAGTCCACATGGGGCGTCCTGATCAGCGCCAAGTCATGATCGAGTCCCACGTAGTGGGGATACCTGATGAAGTTCTCACTGCTGACAGTGTGGCGGAAGGCAGGTTCGTTGTAGTTGATGGCGCCGTAGTACAGGGAAGCCTCATCAGCACTGTTAAAAACGATTGATTATAAAGAGTTATTTATTTCTAAATCCGAATAATTTACCCCGCAGTGCAGTGGGCCGCAGTGAGCACCCAAGTGTGTCCGATTATGGATCCGCCACACCACCACCAGTTTCCGTTGCTGTTCAAGCTCACTCCCACGATGTAGGGCACCTGACCCTCGGACGCCTGGTTGCCGTTGGTAATACGGCCCTCCACTCCTCCATGGCGAATCTCCAGATCGCGCGGGTGGACCAGCGAGTGGGGCACAGTGAGGGCACTACAGACCCCAAGGAAGGCAAGTGACAAGAGTGTAAGACCCCTCATGCTAGCAGACTAAAGCACTCCATGGTGGTCCCAATATAATATACTTGTAGCTCATTATTAATGCTGGTGCAAAGAGCGAAATCTTATCGCGCAGTCACTTCTATCAATTGAAGAGTTTAATTTATATTGGCAGATACTCAAGCCGAGTGTTTTGGCATTATGAATGAAGCGTTAGCAAAGAGAATTACGGCTTTACGTGCTTCAATCTATTCAGATAGGGCATTATTGTATTGGGTATTTTATGAGCGGCCGTCGTTATATAGAACCTGAATAATTTGAATAAAATATATCTTACATAAGAATATTTTCTAAATTTATTTAGTAAAAGCGGATTGGTAACCACATTTAGTAGTCAATGCCAGGCTCCTCCTTGATCCATTCCAAGATATATATTTAAATTGTTTTCAATGAGACGAGTTTCTGTATTAATTCCCAGTAATATATGTCACAACAAGTGAAAATGTGCAAGGTGGAATGGAGGTTCCTCACAGAACCCCCAAGGCACAGAAATGGCAATCGAGGGTCATGTGATATCCTTGAAGTATTGCAGGGAATAGTGAAGCAGAAAAGAAAATACGATTATGGCAATCAAAAGGGAGGTCCACTTTCGGAACTACGGAGCAGCAGTGGCTCCCAAAGTGAGGCGATGGCTTGAAATCCGATATAGTTTCTGAGGAACGCCACGAGCGGAGTGGTCGGAGTGGGCGGACCCATTCCTTCATTAAGAAGCTATTGGGAATGCTTTTGTTTGCACTCTGCCTGCTTCTCCTTGAGCGCCGTACCCCCGCCGCAGTGCCACGCTGAATGTGCAACATCTCGGGGCAGGAAACTCACCACACGGTACGGAGAGCTATTAAAGCCGACCCCCAACGAAGCGTGAGTCAGTTCCCGACTGGGCGTCCAGGCATTCAGACCGCTCGCAAGGATAACGCGCCAGGATGCGAGCGCACGAGCGACGAGTAAACAAAGCATAAATAATACAATTAAAAGTTGGGCGCGCTGCCTTCGCACAGGACATTCCCACACTTGCAGCCCATTTCCTTCGGGCAGTGCAGCAACAAAGTGCAGGCATTAATTAATTTAATGCACATGTACCCCATCCTGGCAGTACAAAAGTGGATCCGAGCACACGATTCCATTTGCAGCGAGTGAGTGTGTGAAAAGTGTTCGACGAAGCGTTTAAAGGACCGCGCTGTTTGCCGTGTGCGATGCCCATAACAACGGGGTTCGCGATTGCCTTTTAAGGTGGGGCGATTAAGTCACGCTCCTCCGTATCAGCGGCATCAAGCGACCAGGAACTCGGGGGCATTGACATTGTGGTTTTAGTGCCGAAATTAAAAATCCGGGCGTAATACATTAAATCCTGACTTATCCTACCAGGAGGTCTTATTCATTCAAGGTGCAAGTGTACTCTTTAAAGCTCTAAAGTATATAAACCTTATACCTTCAACTCACAGATGCAGTTGCTAATGTTTTTTTAAATGCCATGTTTTAGACGCTAGCTACCACCGAAAGCACAATGTTCCCACCCAGCTCTGAAGGACATATCCGAGTGGCGCAGCGTGACTAGGCTAAGCAGACCCCACAGATTATAGGCCCACGGGGATCAGGTCAGCAGGATGCACCAGGTACTCAGCTACGAGACGGCGGTGCGGGCCAACAGCTCTCGGGAGTTCCGCGAGTACGTCTCCAAGCGCACCTGTGCCTCCCTGGTGCTAACGATTGCCTTTTTCATGCTGATAACAGGTGAGTGCATTCACAGGACAGCGCCTAATGAGTCACTCTTGTGTGTCCCGGTTGCGCAGGTTACCTGCTCGGCAATTTCGTGGCCGAGCGCAAGTACCACATTCGCCAGATGACGAAGGACGGCGGCAGGTCCGTGAAGCTGAGCAGCACGGAGTATGCCAGCCTGCAGGAGCTGCAATCATACCAGAAGGCCAAGGGCCAGCTGCTGCTGGCCGCCCAGGAGCTGGACAAGCTGCAGCAGCAGGACGAGAGCGAGCGGTATCTGGCCACCTCGCTGAACACGGAGATCTTCAACAGGTACATATCCTGCACGCAGGACATACCACCCAACACGAACATTGCGGCCAGCCAGTTCACGGAGCAGCTGATCGACAACACGGTGGCCAGGCAGCGCCACTGCTTGATGATCATCCAGAGGGTCATCGACAACCACCTGGTCAACAGCCAGCTCTAGGGGGGCACGGATCCCAGCACTTGGGGATGGTTCAGCGGGCCAGAGTTCGACATTTGATATCTATGTGTGTATGTGCTTTTAGGTGTGCTCAATGTGTGTGCTCCCAGCTAATTAGAAAATAGGTTTTGTAATTCATTGTGAAAGTATTAGATTACACAAGTTTTTTATACATGTCTGCATTAAAAGTTAAACTTTAAATATTTTGGTGATTGGCTAGTGCTTCGTCCGATGAGTAATGTGGACGATACATGGGGTTAGCGCCCTTGATGGGCAGGAAATGGCCTGCACTGTTGAAGACCCACTGAGCCAGCGAAACCACTTCGTCATCGGAAAAGAGCAGGTACAAGTACTTCAGAGTGGCGCCCAAGAAGAAAGACCTTTGCACGTCATCCGGCTCCGCAGTTACGTTATTAACGTCCAGCACACCCGTATATCCGTAGGGCTTTCGGCAGTACTTCTCTATCGCTTGCACCATCTCAAGTCCCCACGAGCGGTACTTTGGATAATGGGTCATGCGCCAAAGAATGAAGTAGGTTTCCGCCACTTCCGGCCTTAGGTTGTAAAAGTTTCTCTGGAGCGGCTCTATTTCCTTCTGGCCTTCCTCCGTGAAGGCAAACGTATCCGGGCCCAACCGAGTGGGAGAATTCCAGTAGCTGTCGTGGCAAGTATCTGTTAGGCCTATGCTCATCTGGACATACTTTTCCCAGTGCTTCAATAAGGTTTCTGTTGCTCCCAGGGCAAAAAGGCCGCCGACAAAACATTCTGAGTGCCTCATACGATGGAAAAGAGTGCCATTTCTGTACGTGGATACGTAGGTCACGTCCTCGGCATTGATGACAACAAGATTTTGCGCCACAGCCAACAAGGCTTCTTTGAAAATATCAGCATTTTGGGTATCAGCTCGCCCGGATTGAATCCATGACTTCAGCAGGGTATCATAAAGTCGGTTCACCGAGCAGTTGTGGTTTTCCCATTTACCATATCTAGTGCAATACGCATTGGGATAAAGGCCATTGGGTCTTGGGGTTTTAGCTAATACCCGGCGAATAGCATCCACCCGATCCTTGTAAACCGGATATCCAGAAATTTCGCTGAGGTAATAGAACTCCAGGTGCAGAGCTCCAAATTCTGCAGTGCGAGAAACGTCGCTTAGATACTTCCAGAGGGTGCTGCCCGCTTTTGGGACCACTAGTTGTCTGGGTATGCCAGTTGGCGTGTCGAAGGCAGGCAGGATCTTATCGGCAATATGGATGGCCTTATCCATGTAAAGGGAATCTCCCGTGAGGGAATAGAGTGTTAGCATAGGACAGAGCAGCCTGGATGTCAGTTCAAAAACGGACAACGCTTCATCAATTCGGTCCAAGGAGAATGACTTTTCGATCCAATTCCGAGAACGATTTAGCTCATTGTGCAGACCCATCAAATGCAAAGTGTCCAAGCTCTCGATGATAGTGGCACCGAGTTTGTAGGACGCGAAATCGCCACCCACATGGGCACGACGGGAAATCGGACGAAACTCGTTGGTGCCCCAAACAACGCGAGCATAGCCTCGCCAGGCATGCAGCATCATATCCTTAATCTTTATCCGCATATCGCCTGGACTCAATGAACTCCCCTGCAATGAACTCCCCTGCAATGAACTCCCTTCCGTTGGTATGTTCCTCTGAAGGGATTGCCTTACCATCGCACGGCACTGAACATAAGTAAGCACTATTGCGCCGACTGTAAAGATTCCGGTAACAATAATCCGAATTCTCGATTTGGTATTTGCCGTATACCAACTATAGTGCGCCCGTCGAATAAGCAGAAAAAAGAAGTACATTCTGGAGCTAAGTCAGTCTACATTAAAACTAAAGTGAGATCGCAGCATGTGCAATTTACTGAACTAAACGGAACCGACCCTAGTTTCTGGACACTTGATTAAACATTTGCTTTTACTTTGTTTGTACTTGAAGTACGAAGTATGTTCACTATAGTTAAGCTGTAGGCCAACAAAATAGTTTATATAAATACATTCTTAGTATTACATTTATGTTTGGATATTGAATATAACTATTTGCAATCTACTGTGTAGATATAATATTGCGCATTTGCCGAATGGCTGTCACCAGTCGCGGCTCGCATCCGCTGCTGAGGGTCAGATACTGATCTGGAGCAGCCTTCAGCAGCGTGAGGATCTGGGACAACTGCAGGTTGATGGACAAGCCTAACTCTTCCAGAACGTTGGACAGGTACTCGATATCCACGCTGAGCTGAGTGGCCGCCGACGAAGGCAGCGACTTGATTTGCAGTATTTGTGTAACGTACAGAACACAGCACTGCTCCACGACCAGCGAGAGTAGGACGTCGGCGCAGGGAATGGTTTGCGTATACTTAATGTTGCACACCTCCAGAGCCTGTTTCAGCAGAGATGATGGCGACAGCAGCAGCGGCTCCAGGTGCTGCGGCAAGGTCAGTAGGTACTGACCAATTTGGGTGATGCTTTCCTGCGGGGCGAAGCTGAACGAGGGCATATCTATGCCCGACGCGGCGTGATCCTGTAAAGGCGGACGAATGTGCGCCAAGTGCGTTTCAATTGGTTGCAGCAATATATTAAGAGTTATGTCATGTGTATCGGCAAAGTGACCCTTTAACGTGGCATAAATCTGCGGGAAGATACCGAGGCTATCCGTTGCCTCCGACTTCCTTTGCTGATAATCAGCTATGCTATTCAACAGCTGGGTGCGAGCTGCATGGTCGCAGGTCTGGAATATGCTGATGGAGCCTCGGTTGGATGGCTTAGTCAACTTGTTTGCCAACGTGACCATGCGCGTATGCAAATCCTGTTCGAACTGATGCAGTTGTACCTGAAAGTCGGCCAGGCATTGCAGCTGCGACATGGTGTACTGCAATAGCGACCAGTTTTCACTCTGCGCCGCATAGCTACTGGATCCCAGACTGAGTCCAATCTGCCGTTGGATGCGCCCAAAGCTCTCCAGTTGCCGCTTAAATATGCCGTTCAGCAAGGTAATGAATTTGCACAGAGCCAAATCACTTGTAATGGAGGCACAACGTTCGCAGGCCTCTTTCAGCCACTCGTAGAGCTTCCGGGTACTTTCCTCCAGATGACGCACACCATCGCTGGGCGTGGCCTGGTTGGACGATAGGCGATCCACCTGGATTGGGACATAAATTTAGGAATAAACAAGATGGAATGCTATAGTCGAGTTCCCCGACTATCAGACACCCGTTACTCCAGCTAGTATTTCATAATTTTCTGGAATATCGGTAAAAATTGCGAAAAAAAATTACTCTACGAGTAACGGATATAATTACAAAAAAGTGAAATTAAAAAAGCTTTCTAAATTTGAATGCACAGAGTAATTAAAAATAATTTTTAAATTTAAATTTTTAGAGAATTGCGCCAGAAACATTTAGAGGTATGCCACTTCAAAATCCGATGAAGATAAGTTACTTCAAAAAAATTACAAAAAAATGAATTCATTTCGGACTTGGCCAGTTCGAGTCGGCTATTGATCCTGATCAAGAATATATATATATTACTTCATATAAACTTTTCAACGAATCTTGGATACCCTTTTACTCTACGAGTAACGGGTTTGAATACAAAATACCGTAGCTATTACATTGTATTACCTGCGTGGATAGTTGGGTCTCTTCCAAGCGGGGGTATTGTTGGATAAACTTGTGGAAATACTCGAAAATCGCCTCACCCAGCAGACGATGTAGTTCCTCGGACAAGGTTATGTGCGATTGCTCCAGCAGGGAGTTCAAATGCAGCACGAAACTGTGGTTTACCTGGGCGAACAAGGCCAGCATCTCTAACCTTTCATTGGAGGTCTTCAAGAGCTGTAGAATATGAGCGTCCCGTGTCGGTTGCAATGCCGGCAATAGTTCAGCAATAACCAGGAAGGGCTGCGAGGAGTTTTCGCCGAAGAGGTTGGAGCACCACTTGACCTGGCGTTGGCAGTGCTCGAGCAGCTGATCGTAGTAGAGGGTAAGAAACTGCTGCTGCTGAGGCTGGGACTCCGTGCCCTGCAGTTCCAAAGTTTGTTTCCATTGTTGCTGCCAAAAATTCTTTTGCACAGCTCGGTAATATTGCTGCAGTTGTGGCAGCCGCTGAATGCTGGTGAAGATCTGGACGAAATGCTGGGCCTGCTCAGTATTGCCTTCCGCAAAACACTGTACCACGCTTGGGGAGGCCAGTGCCTCCAAGCGGTTTTTAAAGTCCTCCACTTGGGTCTGCCGTTCGGCGTGGCCTGGCAGCTGTTCCTGGGCGTGCAGGGACTTTTGCAGAGCTATTAACTTATCGCAGACTCCCTGTAAAAGAGATAATTAATATAGGTCAGTAGTACGACCGTTTCGCTGTGCACACCTTCAGATCGTTGCGTTCAAAACCGTCTTCTAGCTCAGCCAGTAGATTTCCCCATCCATCCGACTCCTGCAGCGATTCCTTGGCCACTTGGAGCTTCTGGCTTTTGGTGTTCAGGCGCTCCAAGGTGGTCATACATTCGCCGGTTTCGTTTTGCACTGCAGCCACCTCCAATCGCATGGCACTCATCTTCTCTTGCAGCCGGTGTACATCTCCCTGCAGTGCGGCGGACTCCTTAGCGATCCTTGGCATGCTGGCCACCACTTGCCGACTGGACTCCTCCACAGCATTGTTTACCTGGAAATTGATATTTACATACGACTCAAGGATGTGCCGCTCCACTCACGTTGAATATATACAGCTGCAGCTTGGCCACGTAACTCCTGATGAAAGAGGAGGCAGCGTCGCTATCATCGCGTCCATTCTCCTCCACAAACTTCTTGTAGTTGGCGTTTATCCACTCCGCAGGACTAAAATTTGTCCCCGAAAGAGCAGAAACATCCATGGTGTTGATGACGTTGATCTAAGCAGTGTGGCCGTTTCGCGTGCGATATAATATCCGATGGGTAGGAAGCTCGGATGCGGATAATTTGCGGATAATGCGAAAAATTTATATGAAACGGAGCTGAAACGGAGCTGAAACTTGGGAATATTTTTTTAAAAACGTGGTAGAATTAATATGTATTCCATTTAAGGGAACCCTCGGAATTAAAATCATTGCGGATGTTGCGCGGATGTCGAATATTGTTCGCGGGTAGTTTTGGTATTTTATGTGGATATCCCCAACGGGCACACTACAAATAATACAATATTTTCCGTAGGAGTTCTTTGGATTTATGTACGTTTATTTAGTTTTTAAAACATGTCACTTGGCAATGCCGATCCCTGGCACTTAAAAGACACTGTAGTTGAACAAGGAATCCCCGTGTCAGCGAATAATAGCGAAAGTTTTGAGGACAACTTCACGCCCCCGCCCTCTGGAAACGAGAGCAACGTCCAAAAGGACGGGCAAATCGAGCCCCTGCCGGATTCCAGCGACTATTTAAAGCTACTAGGTACCGGGACACAGTTTGGGAGACGAAGAGCAGCCCACTAAATTGCATCCATTTCAGAGCGGAAGCTGGCCAGGGTGCAAAAGGGCAACAAGTTGTTGGACAACCTCCGAGACAAGCGGCAGGATTGCATGCGCGGATTGCTGTCTTCGGAGGGAGTGCCCATTTCCATATTCGAGCAGTTCCTCGAGCTAGACGCGCCCATCGAAAGCGGTCGCCTCCATCGGCATCTGCTGCCCGTTCAGGCCGTAAACGTGGGCGAAACTTTCCACATCGTGGAGCACGACGCTCTGCAGCAGTCGGCAGAGGAAGCACAGGTGGAGGAGGAGGATCAGCCGCCGACTAAACAATAACAAAATCACAATGGATTCCACGTTCGGTAAAGTCTTCATGTTTCTCACGGACCTCGCTTGGAAAAGTCGTCTCACTATCCCTATCATGGTCACAACTGCATTTCTCGTGATGGACATCCGTCTGCAGATTGAGATCCACATTCAGTCCGGGCAATTTGTGAGTGCTGCCAATGTATTGTAAATCCTATTCTTCGAAACTCGAACTTTGAAACCTGTTGATGTAAATGTTATGGTGTTAACTGTTATGTCTTAATTTTTGCTTATTATTAAAATGCATATGTGAGATTTGTCCTAAATTTGTCCTTATATTGTATAGAACGCCAGCGATCTGGATGATGTTCAGGAAGGCCTCGACGATCAGCTTGGGCTGAACGATCACGGGTCGGACGACGAGAGCGGCAGTGACAGCTATACAGATGAGGAGTACACAAACGACGATGGAAACAGTGAAGCGTCCCACTACAGCGTGGACATTTACGACCCCTGGGGGTCAGAAGACGAGGTGGACGCCAACTATTCGCAAGAGATGCGGTTCTAAGACACAAAATAAATTCTAGCTTTATTTTATGTACATTCAGTAATGTCGATAATATTTATCTCATACAGTCATAATTAAACAAAATAGTTAAGTGCAATTTCTTTATTCGCCCTTACATGTACAGTTTGATTAACTCGTCGCTCACGGCCGAGGGTGTTAGTCTTCCGAGGTCGGTGAAGAGCAGGGTAATGTAGACGGGTGGCGTATAGTCGACCAGCGGGTGCACTTTGCTCACATCGTTCAGGTGTTTGCGGGAGTACTACAAGTGGGTTTACTTTTAGACGTCGTTCCTGCGTTGATTCAGTAAGAACATACCTTGTACTCATTTGGAAGATCCCGCTGATTGAGTGGATACAGGCGACTGAACTTAAAGCTCTCGGCCAGAACGTAGAAAGGTTTCTTCATCTCACGGGCGCACAGGCCCATGGTGTAGGTGCCAATGCGGTTTATGATGCCACCACTCTCCACCACGGCTTCAGCACCCACGAGCACGAAGTCCACTGACTCCATAACATAGCCGGTGGCTGAGTCCAGGATGAGAGTGCAGTCGATCCCGGCCGCATGCAGGTCCTTAACCATCTCTTCGCTAAGAACGGGTGGTGTTTACACTTGAATTCTTACGGAAATCCAACCAAACTTACCCAGAGTTCCCTGTGCCTCCCTGCGTCACATATACGTGGAAGGACTTTTTGTTCTGCGACGCTGTAATCAACGCCTTGAGGACCACCCGGGATCGGGAGTGCGTCAATATACGACAACCATCGGTGATGAACCTCTGGGCCTGCTGGGCAATCACCTGAATTGGGACGTATAATGAAGAATTATCTATTGTGCTAGCGATAGGTTCCGTGTAATAGCCCACCTGCCGGGAATTGAGCAGCTTGGTGAGGAAGATTTTTCCGCGATTCAACATAATCTGGCGGCACTCCTCCATGTGCTTATCGTCCAAACTGAGGGTGATGAACCTGCAAAAGAGCTCTCCGGCGGACACAATTGCTGCTATAGACAAATCCGTGTTCCGCATGGCGGCCACCGCTTCCCTCATGGTTGTGTGTAGAATATGAATGGTGCCAACTGAGGAATATGTTATAAATGATTAGAAAGGGTCACATAAGAGGCTTATCAGACCACTTACATTGTTTTTTTTCCAGGATCATGAGCAGAGTCCTGATGGCTGCAATGCCAGAGGACAGATCCTTGTCCTCGTCCAGGAGCTGCAGGAAGTATTTGACCACATCTGAGGGTGAAAGTTTATATCATTCCTTGTGCGTAACTTAAACACCATCCTTTGCTCACCAAAATCCTGTCCATTTTCCGTAATTTGCGGCATTTTTATGAAATTGTGAAAAGCTACCGCTGCACGTTAAACGTCAACAAAATGCTCAGCTGTTCGAAGGCTTATCTACACCTCGCAACTCGCAGCTACATTTATCGATTGCCAATACGCACCTACCGATAACGATTGCCAGATTGCCGGGGCTGAAACGTAAACAATCCGAAATTCTATGGGTATGTTTGTTTTGTTAAACATATTCGGCCCAGAATTGTAGCAAAATCCACAGCATGTAAATTCAAGTTAACCGCCGGCAACGCAGTAAATGAAGAGTTCCATTTAAGTGAGCAGTCAACAGCGCTGGGATCGAGGCCTAAGCCTCCGGCGTCGCCACACCATGTTCAAACTGGAGTCCTACATCACGCCGATTCTGCTGAGCTACGTGGCCAAGTACGTGAAGAACTTCCGCGACGAGGATGCCCAAGTGTCGCTGTGGGAAGGCGAGGTCACCTTCCAGAATCTGGACCTGCGCCTGGAGGTGCTCGAGGAAGAGCTGAACCTCCCAGTGGAACTGGTTTCCGGCCACATTCATGAACTTAGCATCCTGGTGCCGTGGACCAAGCTTATGTCCGAGCCCGTGAAGATCGTCATCAATACCATAGAGTTCGTGGCCAAGTTGCCGGACAGTGAGAGCAAGCAGCGGAGGGCCTCCTTCCAGCGAGAGCAGCGAAGGAAATCCAAGCGAGACTCCGTGGAGCAGCTGGACCAGACTAAGAGTCCCGGACCGGCCAGCTCCTCCAGCGTGGTCAACAAAATCATCAACAATATCAGCCTGCAGTGCCACAACATCATCCTGAAGTATGTGGAGGATGACATTGTGGTCTCTATGAATGTGCAGACCCTTAACTTCAGCTCCGCGGGCGAGGACTGGAAGGCCACCATGGTGGACATACACCCGGTGTCCGTCGTCATGCGCAAGTTGCTCCAGATTTCCGATTTGACCATCTGCTTGGACAAGCGCAACACAGCCGGCAGGATTGAGGTGTGCCAGGAGCCGGTTCTCTACCGCTGTACTCTGGAGTGCCGGGTTCTCCGCAAGTACAACGCCAACACGGTGACCACCACGAGCACAACCCGCATTGGAGTTTTCACCAAGTCGCTGGATATCAACGTGTCATCTCTCCAGTTCCCTATGGTAATGAGGCTGGTCAAAATGCTGCTCGAGCTTAAGCCAGCCGAGTTTGAGGAGGACCCCCAAAATCCAGAAGATCAGGAGGCGGTAGCTGAGGGCAGCGAGTCGCAGCAGGGTACCGAATCCGCAGGTCAAAGCGTCTTTTGGTGGGCCTGGAACCTACTGCCGAGTTTCGATACTGAGGCGCCTTCCTCGTCCTGCGACACTCCCACTGGCCACGCCTTCGATATGGGAATCTACGCCGAGGAGCTAAACTTCCAGCTTAAAAACTCGGAGTACTTTACCGACCAGAGCATGGGAGGCATCAAGCGTATACGATACACCCCAATACTGCGGATCAGTTTGGGCGGACTTTATTACGAGCGGACCATTCTAAAGGAGTGCGACTGGGCCAACGTCAAGGCGGGCCTTTCTAGCATGTGCATGGAGCCATTGGGTGCTTATCGTAGCGATGATCCGGTGGATCGCAATTTGGTCAATACCCAGGAAGTGAGTAGATCCTAAGACTTTGTCTTCATTACTTATTATTTATTCCATACAGTTTCAGCAAGAGCGCTCCTTCATTGACAAGAGCCTGTTTGACGAGAACTACATGTTCGCCGATCGGTCTTGGTGCAGCTACAACTACGAGGATTACGTGGCCAGGAATACGGATGAGTACATGCTGTTTCGCAGTCCTGTTTTGGCCTTCGATGTCATCGAGCACCGGGTGTCGAAACCAAGCAGCCATCCCGTTGCGGAAAGCCAGCTCAGAGATCTGGGAGTTCGCATCCAGTATCGCCTACTGTCCGCCGGAATCACGTTCCACTTTTCGCAGTCGTTTGTGCAGGTTAAAAAGGTAATTAGCGATTTAATTCGTCCTTACGATTACCCGGGATATCGTTCAGAATCGGTGAAAGACGAGGATCGCAGTGTCCCCGAGCCGGAGAACAAGAACTCCGAAATGACTATACCTGATCTGGAGTATCTGATGGGCTTGGTGCCCACCTGTAACTATAAAATTGAGCTGCGCAACATAGTGGTCCAGTTGTACCCCCGCCAGCAGCAGGAGGAATCATCCGTGCTGAATCAACACCAACTGACGACCACAGTTCGACAATCTTTACTACCATATCTGCAGCTTAAAGTCTCCCTAGTCGAGGGTACAATGTGTGGACCAGTAAATCCTGTTCGCCTGGTCCAACTGATTACTCATCTGCAGGATAAGCCCCGGGAGGTGGTTAATGGCTGCTACAACTCTTTCCACTTCAATGTGAAAAACTTGGCGCTTATGATTATGAATACAACTCCGGATAATGGCCGTGCCAAACTTTTAAACATTCCACGCGTTCAAGTGAACTGGAACCGTCTGCTGGCGCCTCATCTTTGGCGTCAAAATGAGGCGCCTTTAGAGACTTCGGAAATAAAATCTGAGATCATAACTTTAGAGTTCTCAAAGCGCGAGCTAATAGTCGCAAGGCGCTTGGTCCCGCTGATTTCGAGTTTTAATAGCCAAGATCTTTGCGATCTGGCCCACCTTGTGGCCAATGCCAACATCAATTCGGATGTAATTAAGCTGCAAAGTGTGGGCACCAAACTGAGCCTGAGTTACCACAGGTATCATACACATTTGGCTGCAGTGGGTTCACTTCAAGGGGTCCACACCGACGCCGTCCATACGAAAATGAATATACGCAATGTAGTATTGTCCACTTCAAAGAATGCAAACAATAAGTGGCTGGAGATGCAGTGCCAGTTTCCTCTGGAGGAGGCCAATTCGGAGCTGGAAAAAATTCCCGGCACAGTGGTGTGCCTTTGGCTGGAACCATTTCGCATCACCACAGACATATATCTGCTGCAGTTTCTAAATTTTTCGGATAACAGTGGAAGGCAAAAAACAAAAGACAAGGGTAAGTGATTTCTTATAAAACATTTTAGGAACTATTAAGCATTTATTTTTGTTTTCAGAAGTAGAAACTGATTTGGAGTCTGTGAACCAGTCGGAGCCCCCAATAACACAATCGGTTTCGAATTACTCCACGATGTCTGCCTCTGCGATGGCCTTGAATGATTTTCAACCCCGTCGACTCAGCAGAAACAATAGTCGAAAAATATCGGTTCCCGAGGAGACAGTTCATCTAAGTTCCGAGCGAGATGAGAGGCACACCCAGACAGAACCATTGAACATAGCCGTTGCCAGTAAGCCTCAGCCAAGTAATTTCGATACCACCGATTTTGTGAAGCGACTGACCAAAATGGTGGTGCTGGTAGAGATCGCTCAGGCTAAGATTGACGTATGTGAAGTAATGATGCGAAAAAATCCTGGAGATACGGATGTGGAGTATACTTCCATTCGCCTGCCGCACATTAAAGTAAAATCGGGCAATTACGAGGCCATTCAACGAGGAAACATCAGAGGAGTTATTCCAGTAGCGAATAACACTGAGTTATTCAATTGGGTCATTGACCTAAACGAGCTTAACGTTTGCTATCGCAGAGCTAACGTGACCGAGATGATTGTAGCTCCAGTCCGAACCACGATTACGTTGGCTCTGTCTTTCAAGACATCTGAAAAAGCCGACGGAAGAAGAGCTGACGGAAAATCGGACCAGGATAAGAGTACCAAGGACTCCCCGGAACAAAACACTTACTCTATAAATGTGCATGTGGATATGTCGGCCATTAACATTTTCGCTCAGCGGGTAAGTGGAGCTTTTCCAGAACCTATATAACTTTATTTGAGTACACCCATTTCCAGGTGAAATTGTTACATGAACACTGCTTGATTATTTCTAAGATGTATGGTTCGCTGTACCCGGACGAACCTGCATCCAAGTGGCAGACAGCAAAAATGAAACCCGGACTGGAAGTGTACACTGGGAGTGCGCAAAACTACCCGGCTATAAAGGAGTTTCTGGAGCTAGATCCCAACTTCGAAGCGCCGCAAGTGAAAAGTGGTAAGAATCAATACACATAGGTTTTAGAAATTAAATATAAATGTATTATTTCACTTAGCTCCCAGAAGTTCAGTGGTACTATTTTGCCAATGGACAATTCCACGTATCAGTTTTGAAATGGAAAACTCCAATGACTTCAAACACAGTAAAATTGTTATGATTCTGGAGGACTTACTCCTGAATATCGACAAGCATAGTGACTTCAACAAGATTACCACGAAAATAGAAAACTTTGGCCTTAACTATTACGAGGAAAAGCATAAGGAATGGGAAAAGATCGACGACTTGCATATCAAAATGCTTGGGGATAGCACAAACTTGCCCTTGATTAGTGTGGTGATCACCACTGTAAGCCTTAAGGATCTGTATGCAAAGATTGGGGCACGAAACCCTCACAACAAGCAACACACTATCTCTGAGGTGCTCATCGAGGTGCAACCGATAGAAATGGTGCTGAACCTGGACCAAATTACCGAGTTTATGATTCCGATATGTGAGCTCCTTGAAATTATGGGAAGTTCTGTCTCTGCGCAGCCAGTAAACCCACCGAGCGCACCAGTTCCAAGCAAGATCACAACGGTTCAAGATCTGCCAATGGTACATTTAAACAGCAAGGGTATCTATGTTTATCTTCCTCTATCTACAGGGAAAAAGAGCTGTAGTGTCCTACTACTACGGGTAAGTATTCCGAATATTGTTAAAGCTTCGCAAATTTATTGTATATATTTATATTGCAGATAGAAAGTATTCAACTTACTCCGAGCCTGGAAAATCCTCTAGTTCGCCAGCTCGTGCGGCCAGATATATATCAAAAAGCAGCAGAGCTGAACATGCTCAGCACCCCAGGAGCACTGGTAGAGGACCGTCAGTATGAGCTCAGTGTTCGAAGGGTATCTCTGTCCACCGGAAACTGGAAACAAACACAAGAGTATCGTATAGAGAAGACGCTGGCAAGCAAACATGACAATCCCGCTTTCGAGTGGAATAATCAAAGTCAGTCCACCGAGCTGGACCATATGGAAATATTCAA